GTAAAGTTTAAAAAACTACAGGCAGCTAGATCAGAAACTATACCAACATTAAGTAGCAGGGTATGAAGGAACGTGTTTTACTTATTCTGGCACAGTAATGCTGCACTTGTGCATTTTCAAGAGCATCTGCTTTCAGATCTCCGTAAGATGGAGTATGATATCGCTTTGGGAGCAAGTTGGAAGGAATCTCTGCTTCAAAGGCCCTTCACGTGATGTTGTCTATAGTAGACGTTCAGCAGCATCTCCTGAGACACCTTAACTGGAGTATATTTGAACTATGTCAAACAGATCATCCCGTCCATGGAAAACAGGGAATGATGTTTTGCTCTAATTCCGAGTGAATGCTGGGTGGATAACTACCAAATGGAAAGTACAACAACCAAAAGAATTAGGTGGTCTTTCTTTTAGTAGACGGGAACATAAAGTACGGTCATGTCCTAGTTACAGAGGCCTGGACGTGTTTATCATCATCATCAGGGTTTAATTTCGCGAACAAAGATTTGGGAAAGGTTCTATCCACATTTGTTACAAGCACACTTGTGGCTAATAAGGCCAATATGAGACAGACATGTCTGATTGCAAAAGGCAAGAGCAGAAAGACTCCTTCGATGGTGTATTCTGCAAGGCACGATTCTTTCTGCCTTGTCTTTTCTCCTCAAGAGTGATCCTGCGTGCGTTCTCAAAGGAAACAGTAGCGTTATAGATGGTGTGTCTCCAGAACTCCTGATTGGAGGCCAGAGTGGACCAGTTATGGTGATCAATATGGCCAAGGATGAGATGTTGTTTCAGGGAGTCCTTGTATCTTCTCTTCAGGGCTCCTCTCCTATGGCAGCCGGTGGCCAGTTCACCATAAAGCAAGATCTTAGGGAGGCAGTGGTTGGTCCTTCATCCTGGAGACGTGTCCTGCCCAGCGCAGCTGTGTTCTCATCAACATGGCCTCAATACTTGTGACTGCTGCTTGCTCAAGAACAGATGTATGGATCTGACCATTATCTGACCATCCACATAATCTGACCAGTGGATGTTAAGGACTGTACAGATACAGCATTGATGGAAGCTTTCTAGGAGACACAGGTGGTGGCAGTAAATGGCCCATGATTCAAATCCATATAATAGAGTAGACAGCGCTATGGCTTTGTAAACACTGATCTTGGTGTTTTTCTTCAAGTGTTTATTATGCCATACTTTTTTATGGAGTTTTCTGAAAGCACTATATGAGTTTGCTAACCTGTTGTCTATCTCTCCATCAGTCTTAAAATCAGAGGAGATAAGGCTACCTAGGAAATTAAACTACTGGACTGATTTGAGCTCTGATTGGCCAATGGTGATATGGGGATGATGGAAGACTTCCTGAGGTGCAGGTTGATAGAGAATTTTTGTCTTCTTCAAGTTGACTTCCAGCCCAAAGAGCTCAGCAGCCTCAGCAAAGCAGGATGTTAAACGCTGCAGAGCTGCTTCTGTGTGGGCAACAAGGGCAAGGTCATCAGCATAAAGCAGCTCCCAGACAAGATGATTTAAGGTCTTGACCTGTTTATCACTATGTGGGTATAACCAAAACTCTGTATTCTACACCCTCTGTGTCATTTCTAATGGACTGGTAATAGTGGACCGTTTGCAGCAGCTGTCCAGGGCACACCTGACACCTCAGGCTACAAACTGGGTGTTGAAGAACCCTGAGATGCAGGTGAGTGATTTTTTGTCTTCACACCAGTGACTCAGCTGTGGTAACTCCCCTCCAGGGAGGCATTAGCACCTTCACACCCAGCCTGAGAGGGTCATCTCTGCTATTGGGCCATAAGGGATGGGCATAATAGGCAGCTGCAATGACCTAGGCCATCAAAGATTCCAAAAATATCCCAGGACTCACAGAGTTAAATCACCCATTGTGAAACTTCCTGCCCTGGAGGATGTACTAGGCATTCCCACCTGAACCTGAGAATATATAATCCTCCAGCTTTGGGACTTCTGGTACCACTCTTCGGATCCAGAGGAGGACAAGAACTTCAACAGGACTCTGACTGCCACTCTCCACAAGACGGCAGTCATTACTTCTGCAGAACTGCGACCATCATCTGGACCAACAGGCTTCCTTTCCTTTTACTTTGCACCCGGGGGGGCCACGTGGTAACAGCAAATGAACACCATTCTCTTCTTGTCACAGGGGGCTGGGTAATACAGCTGCCTTTGGGGGGTAAAACCAGTTTTTGCTCTATCATTCTATTTATTGTAATCTTTTTAGTAAATTGTAACTCTGACTTGTAATCTCTCTTGAGTTGGGTTCATTTCTCCTGCCGGTTTACTTTTAAACCAGCACAGGTCACAAAAATAACTGTCACATCAACTGACTGCTTAGAACACTTTGAGAGCATCAGAAGAGTTTAAAAAAAATAATAAAAGATTCTAGCATGCCCCAGAGTGGTGTGATTTAAAAGATTAAAACAAAACCAAAATCACAAAAGACAACCTTGCGGAAATATGAAAAGAGAAATGTGGCTGGAGAAGAAGTACAACTCCAACTAAGATGACACCTTTTCAAATATTTCAGTAAAAAAATCCCAACCGATTACGTTAATTTATTCTCACAAAAAAACCCATTTCACATCTCTGATCTTCTAACCGTGTTTCCACATCTGTTCCTTCACTGCAATCTGAACACTGGTGGCTTCCTTTATACATATCAGGTAAAAAACATATACCTGACTAGGCTGTCTACTATAAAAGTAGACAGATGAATGGGCTATGTGTCCAGAAACCAAAACAAACAAAGGAATAAAGGAGAGGTAAAGGACTTCCAAAAAATCCCCGGGGAAGCGTCTTCGACCAGAGTAACCACGGCGTGTGGGTGCATTTCTGTGGAGAACTCTACTTAAGGGATCATGAAAGAACACCACCAAAAAGATCCCAGCTTTCTGTGTGTCCATTCACATGCTCACTTTGAAGAACTAAAAGCAACAGAGGTAGCCTATGATGATGATTATACTCCTGCAATACATCTACAAAGAGCCCTGAGCTCTTAAATGAATGCTTGCACTGGTGTGTCTCGCTCCTGCAGCATAATATCTTTTTATAAAACCAAGCAGAGGGACAAAAGATGTTATATTTTTATCTTACTGTAGGGGTGGTACCCTTTCAGAAGAATTTGTAACGAGGAGTTAGAACTTGTTTTCCCTAAGGTAGTCCCTCCTGCCCAAGAGTACACTTTAAAAAACCTTTTGCATTTCAGAGAAAAAGCTGCAGTCTCTCTGGGCTGAGGAGAGAGAAACCCTCATGGGTGTTACAGGCCATGCTGGTGGTGAGCCTGGGGGGAGGAGGCCAGAGAAGAAAACAAGCCTGGCAGAGATCAGGAGGCAGGAGTTACTCAGGCCCAGCATTTTCCTCAGCTGGATTTTGTTTTGTCAGTTTTTGTGTTCTTACCTTGGAAATAAACCTTTTTTGGGATCGTTCCAATGCCTTGGCATTTTGGGGGGATACCTGCGTGTATCTCACTCTACACTTACCAACATTGCACTCTTCCGCTTTTCTTCTCCCAGAATTGTCAGCTCCATTAGTTGACTGGGCACTTTTTGGTCTCTCGTTATGGGGCAGATAGTCATCATCATCTTAAAGAAACATAAAAATTGAACACTGGTTCAATGTCCAGACAACTCATGTACAATGCTGGAACTGCTTTGAATTTCAAAGCTCTAATGCAAGTATTGGACTGGGCTTATCAGGGCACCAAACTGTGCAACACATTACTTATGTGAGAAACTTTAGAAAGCTCCTCTTCCTACCCCTGTAGGAACAACCTGTGCAAGACGGACTCTGTAAGGCACAAGATAGCAAAAAGCACAGCTGCTTCTGTACTTCCTAAGGAAAACAACATTGTGTTTTGAAACATGACTGCAAACCTCACAATCATAAAATGACCATGCAACAGCAAAAGGAAATCAGGAAATAAACTGTGCAGATATTGACTACATTTTTTTTATCTAACTGGAAGTAGTACCCTTCCACTAGAAAGTCTCGCAACAACAGTACCTAAGTTTTGTCTTGAAGAGCTCAAAGGTACTAAAACCAGTTTTGAAACACTGTAAAACTAATGGACACAAATGAAAACTCATATAAAAGGTCAACTCCACCTAAAACACACACAGATGGACAGACAGGAAAACTGCAAATGCAGGAATTTTTGCGTGAGCTGCTACTCAGCCAGTCACTTCTCAATCCAACCCTATCCTCCTTAGGTTCCTGAGCTAGGAAGACTGTCCAATTCCCAACACCTGCAACCTTAATGGAAAATGAACCATTTCAACAGACAAAGACAATCAATTTCACATAAAGAATAGCAGGTACCCAGGTCACTAAGGGTATAGTTCACTTTGCAAGAATAACATGACATATTGACACACCTTGTACCTATGCAGTTGTATTATATTCCGTCAGACAAAACCCCTCCAGATCATTTTTACTTTTGCGGAAAGACTTTTACGGATACACAGAACTTAATGACTCTTATTACCTCTTCTGTTGAGGTAATAAGAACTCTTCTGTAAGAGTTACTTTATTGCTGGATGACAAAAAGGTAATAGTAATGCCAGAAGTGTCAGCTTCTGTCCTAAATGCCCCTGCCTATTTCCTAGATTGCTAATTGGGTGGTCTCAATCCTAATCGAATTCCAGAAACAAGCACTGCAAAGCCACTCGCAGAAGTGCTGTAAAGCAGTCACAGGACATGTAATCCACAAACACAAGAAACAGAGCTGACTCCCAACCAAGATCCTACACTGAAAACAACAGCAACACTGGGCAGTGGCTTTAGTGCCATTCAGATGAGAAAGGCAAGTGGCAAGTGTAAAGGTTTTTCTCTCGTATTTATCGCTATGAGGCAAATAAATTGAGGCTTCACTTATGCCACCTGTGACACAGCCCTTCTGTTCTGGTACAGTTCTTCCCAGAAGCGAGTGTTCACCAGAAATTTTATATAGCTACAGTGTGCTTACAAAACAATGTGTTGTTCAGAATGAATGAAAGTTATAACATCCTGTGTGTTCAATGAGTATTCTTCATTACCAACACTTGAAATGAACGTGAAAGATGCAAACTGCTGCCTGGCATCATTTCAAAACCAGCCCAGGAAGTCCAATATCCTTCAGCATATTGTAGCTTTATAAAACTTCTGGACTAGGTCTGTTTACCAAGCAGTGCACAATCCAAGCTGCAGTCAACACTGGCACATAAGTCTGTTTATTCAGTGACAAGTAACCCAGGCACTGGAAAGCATTTTTTGAATATAAAAATGCCCAACAGACTGAAATCAATGAACCACTGAACTGACCTTCAAGAGTGACCTCGACCTCAGGATTCTCACGTGTTTCTGACGAGTCATGCTGGGAGGAAGCTGAAAGGGGAAAACAGGGCTGCTGAATGATGGACACAGAAAAGGGTTTTCTAACCAAACACTCCACGATTCTACATTGAAACTAACATTTGTCAGAGAAACCCCTGGCACTCACTGCAGGCAACAAAAGCAGAAGCAAAGATATTTTACCAAAAGCCTTGAAGCAATTCCAGACAAGGGTAAGGAGGTGAGGATTACACTTGCTAAACCACGTGTACAGCAATGCAGAGTCGGTGGCAAGGACAGTAGGAAATCCCTTGTTCTTGGCTTAGAAGGATTAATACAATCATCAATATTTTTCTCTTTGTTATCAAGGATTACTGAAAATATAAACAAAGGCTGTGTGCCACCACAGATTAGGCATTTCTTTACCATTTACACAGCCTCTGGCTGTTGCACTGTAATGACCACCATAACAGGCTGCAAGGCCAATAATGAAACACGGGAGGGAAATTCATGATCACAAAGGCTTTTGTTGAGGCCATGTGCACCAACAAAACAAACAGGATTAGGCCTATCAACACTCGGTGTGAGAAACAGCAATTTATATTCAACTGCAGTAAAGTTTAAAAAACTACAGGCAGCTAGATCAGAAACTATACCAACATTAAGTAGCAGGGTATGAAGGAACGTGTTTTACTTATTCTGGCACAGTAATGCTGCACTTGTGCATTTTCAAGAGCATCTGCTTTCAGATCTCTGTAAGATGGAGTATGGAGATGGAGCCACACTCATGGCTTTCTTTACAAATATAAAGGAAAAAAATATACTACAGTAAAATGTCAAAAGAAACTTTTAACTCCAACTATGCAATGTAAGGATTTTCACAAGGTAAAATCCAGAGGTATAATGTTCACATGAATAACACACAGAAGACTCATTTTCTGAATCTTAAAAATTCATGGCAGCCAGAGCACTCTGAGCTTATGAAGAAATTAACATGCTGAAATGCAGGTGTGTATTTTCTGGTGTTTGGAAATTGGGAAAGCAGTATCTTCAATACAAATTGTAAGAAGCTGAAAAAAATTGCACAATTTTGGGGTAAATGTATTTCAGCTATTGCTGAGATGCAGTAAGGAATTGCTTCCACTAAACACAGACTTCCCATTTACTTTTTTATGTTTGTGCCCATTCATCTCACACTTAATGGAAAGAAATGATCAAGTTGGACTCACAATTTATAAGCAGACTTTTATTAAAATTAATAAGTAATTATTAAACAGATTGAATTTCTTGAGAAACATATCTATTCACACAAATCACTAGTGATAAATCTGATGCTTGGTCCTGAATTTATAAAAGGAAGAAATGAGATTCCCTTCTATATGTTTCTCTACTTGAACACCTGGAAATTAAAGCAACTGAAATTTTCACTTGTTTTGATGTTTTAGTTCCAATACCCTCACTCTTATTGCAAATCAAGGGTTCACATATTCAATTTCCAAAACAAGAAAAATACAACTAAAAGATCTACCTGTGTAACTTTTTGCAAGACCAGATTTTTCATCCATGTCTGATGTCTTGGAAGGGCCTGCTTGGGAATAAAGAGAAGGGCTTTTAAAGGGTGTCTCACAACAAACACCTATAGAGAAATTTGCCAAGTAACTCTTAATTTCATATACTATATTCTCATTTCATACTTTCTGTAATGCTGAACTTCGGAAAGACTGTGTTAAATATTAAGTATCTATAAGTCCCTACTTACCTGGTTCAACAGAATAAAAATGTTGAGGGGCTACTGTCAGGTGTGTGCATTTCTTGGACTACTGAACAACCAGACACTCATGCAGAACAGCAGGCTTTCATTTTTTTTGTGTGTTAATAAACTAATTTTAAAACACAAAATGCTGATGTTTCTGCCCTTTTTCAATGAATTTTTAATCAGCTTTATCTCTTTCCTGTTCGTAAAATTTATATTCCTAAGGAGTACTCTTTGCCTTTCAAATTTCTACCTACATTAAATACATAAATTCAGAGAGATTAAAATAACTTATGATGCTGTCCAAGGCTGTTTGCTTTTCATAATAACAGCTCTTTTGAATGCTACAGACAGATTGGTTAAAAGGGGCTGGTGCAGAAACCAGCATACAAATGACACTTAACTGATTAAAGTAATACTCCTAAAATCCTACCGTTTAATGCTCTGGTTCTCCTGCAGCTACACTGGAAAGATGAGCTGTAGGCTATTTTTAGCAAAAACTATGACCATTTGCTTTATTTTGTAGCATGTCTCTGCAAATGCAATACTGGAACACACCTCAGAATAACTGCAGTTTTTGAAGGTTCAGTTCCTGCACAGCACCACCACGCACACACAAACCCCTATATGACTCCAGAGTTTATAGTTCTCTACAGTTTGGACAACCTTTGGCTTGAATCAGAGTGGTAGCTACTCAAAGAATGAAGGGGAAGCTGCTTTACTCCAGGGAAGTTGGCATGACTTGACATGGGAATATCTCTTTTAACTCAGAGCACCCCATCACTTCTTCCAATCTACTCAAATCCCCCCCTTCAAATCCAGACTGCTTAGACTTCACTATGGAAGTATATTGTATAACTGGGATTTTTCAGCTCAGATAAATACGCTGCAGAACAATGGGTACTATTTTGTAAGGACGCAATTTCAGAGCAGACTCCCTTCAGATGGCATTGGGTTACACTGCGGGATATTTTGGCACTCTTCAGAATAACTTAAATGATAGGCAGCATGGAAATGCTGTATCCTAACAGAGCTATGTAATTGCGTGTTTAATGACCAAAAATAAGTAAACGGAGAGGCGTGGAGAGAGCAACACTTATGCAACCAGCCCTTTCATGAGATAAACACATATGAAAATTACTATCATTACCTGGGATATTAAATCTACAGTAGTCAGGGTCATCTGATTCCCCCTTCACTGGTACTGTTGCCGTTTCCGAAGAAATTCCTGTATTAGCAACAAAGGAATGAAATATGGAAAATAGTAATAAGTAGATTCTTACAAAACCCAAACAACAGCACCCACCAAGACCCTCACTGATCTCTGTCAAAAAAAAGAAGAAAAAAAGAAGAAAAGACACTACACATTTGTTGAGCTAAAACAATGGTAAAAAAGTGACCTGCTGGTTTCTTATGTTTCAGTCTGGTCACCCTCCGAAAGGATCCAGGATTAAATGCTTCCCTACAAACTAAATGTGTCCCTGCAGATGGTATTTCAGATCTGAAGATTTTTTTTAAATGGGTTCCTTCCTTTTGCATGCTACCACAGAAAAAGAATATATTTTACTACTCATCGTGCTGAAAATACTCGTAGACTGCTCCTGCTCACTTCTCTGTGCAGACAAGTTCAGATACAGCCTGCGTCAAACTGCACTGCTGACAGAGCAACACATACCCCCTCCATAAGCCTTGACAGCATTCTCTAAAATGTTTTCAAAACTTTCTGACAAAAGAAAATGTGTAGAAAGCAGCATAGGAAAGAGCTGGGACTGACTTGGCAAAAAGTTCAAGTTAACCCTTTGTGTATGTCAGGCTAAATGTTAACCACATAGGGTTCCTAAACCACAAGGTTAAAGCTGTGAAGCACAAAGAACTAGATCAAGAAACTGGACTACATACAAAAACTTAATTCTTATAGGAAAGGGAGCAGTGCAGCCTAACCCAACAAAAAGGAAAGTCACCACCTTATCTTCCAGCACACTTGCTGCCTCACTGGCTTTAACGAGGTTATCCATGCCTTTACCTCACAGCAGACTCTTAAGCATTGCTCTGCCACAGATCACAGTGGCTAGGGGAATCATCTGTTATCTTCAAGGCAATTTAGGAATGGGTTGGCAATTTTTTAATAACAAATAACACATCTTGGTATTTATTTATTTATTTCCATTTTGGCTAGAAAATGGACATTTTGTTATTTTCAATATGTTAGTAATATTAACAAATAAACAAAGTTTTTTTGTTTCCCATTAGGGACAAAGATATCTTGAATTAGAACAAACCCAAACAAAACAGAGGAATTTCCTCTTTTCTAAACTACTTAAAGATAAATTATTTTAGTCTACAATATATTACAAATTTCCTCCCTCTTGAGATGGAAGCATTTAGCTAAGGTTCAGAAAAGTGGAGAGTTTCAAGGAAAAAAAAGGGTTTTCCATCTCACCAAAGATGTCTTTTTGCTGCTTTTGTTTATTTAAGCTTCCTAGCTTTGCTTAAATTCAGATTTATTTTTTTTTTTTGCAAATAAGGGCAAAATTTTGAACATACCAGAATCTCCGCTTGGCTCCATTTTCACTTTAATAGGAGGACAACTACAAAAATAAACAAATCAAGCAGATTGACATTATAAAATACAAACATCACATTTCTGGGAAGTTCCTCAAGCTTTACAACCTGTCAAGTAAAATCAATCTCCCAGAATTATTTCCAACACAAACACAAAAGTAAAAAACTGCATATTGGCTTATCTGACTCATATCATGCGAATTGCCAGGAATCTCCTATCCCTACATTTTTTGGGGCATACAAAATATTCAAATCATGTTTAGCATTTAATGAGAAGCAATTACAGAAGCACAGAAAATTGAGGCCTGTTTTCACATTAACCAATTTTTTATGTATTCCAACTATAATATCTTCATTTACTAACCAAAAAAATTACTTTTGTTTTTTTCAAACTGAGGAGGGAGAAGGAAGCAACTTGACATCTGTTCCCCCTGTTATACCATAAAATGTGGCAAATTTATCCCTGACTGACAAACTGTGAATTAAGAACACTCTGTGGGCTAATTAAACCACAGAGACACTTTGCCATTTGTTTAACTTGTAACGGTTTCTCCATAAATAATGGTCTAAAGAAGGAGAAGATGTTTTTATAATGTCAAGCAAACAAAAGTTATCTAAAGGTCAGCTGGGTAGAAAAAGTACACCAAGAGAAAGATAAACCACATGAAAATGCATAGCTGATACAAAAAAGAAAGCTACATTATTTTAAGTTTACCTTCCACCCAGAGGTATAACTGAATGTGAAGCATCTGTCATATGAGCTCCTGAAAGTTAAAAAACAGTATTTGAATTTCCTGTACTCCATTTACTTTAAATACAAATTGAAAATATAACATTGATTTCACAAAGCAAAAACCTGTTTACATTTTACAAGCACATGTGCATATTTTCTGTATTCACAGATAATGAGAGAAAGATCTCATTAAACTACCTTAATAATCTATAAAGCAACATCAATATAAAATCTATTCAGATGTGCATGGTAAAATGCACTGCTGTCTTTCATGATGCTAAGTGAAAATCTTGGAAAACAAGGATAAACAAGTCTTTCACCTAAACTCTGTTAAAAGAAAATGATAGTTTCATATAGATTAAGTTTAGTCCTAAATTACAGTTAGACAGAAATAACTTATATTTTTAGAATGTCATTCACCACATTGAAAACCCACATTGCATTTTCAATAGAACTATATTGTTACCAGAATCTTTGTAATTTCCCAATCTCTAATCTTCTAACTGAGCACAAACAACACATTTTTAATTTTACTAATGAAGCATCAACTTCCGTCTGTTTCACCTAAGAAATTAAACTCTTCTTTTTCGATTACATTCCTATAGAGATTGTTTCATCCTTTTCTTAAATGAATCCTCACATATATTCATTTAGCAAGTAAAGCAACATGATCCCATGAAAGGAACAGAAGGGATTTCTCCTAAGCTAGAATTGAATCTTTTAGGATTTTACAAAACTTACTCTAGCTTAGATTTTTTTGATATAGAGAGGCTTTCATAGGAGCTACAACACCAAGCCACTTCAGAAGATTAAATTAATTTTTATAATTAAATATAAATGCCAAAATCAGCTCTGTAGTGGAACATAAGCACTGCAAAGTTTTGGCATCTTCTAAAAGTGCAATGCAGTCTTTTGCAAGTTCCATTCTCCCTTCCCTAGGATACTATCCAATCCACATTAAACTTAAATTCAGTAAACAGATGAAAAATTAAATAGAACGAATTTAATCTCTAATGAGTTTCTCCTGGTAGAATGCATAAAGGAAAAGGTTATAGCTTCATAAGTAAGGCAACTCACGGTCTAGAAATTTCTGCAGTTTGCTGCTTTATGGACATGACCAAATATTCTATCTACATTGCTATCTAAACTCAAATTGAAATCTGTTTCTGTTTAGTCTGAGTAAGCAGTAACTTACCTATGTGTTCCTCTGGTTCTAGGAAAGGCCTGTGTGGAAATATGGAAAGAAAAACTTAGCTTTAGCAAAGACATCATTAATTACTTGGTAGTGTAACATTACAGAGAGCGCATTCCTGTTTAAGAGAAACAGCCTGCAATGTAGCTATTTAAAAATTAAAATTAATTTTACTTAATTTAAGTACAAAACTGAATTGGACAGACTAGTGCAAAAGAGTGAGCAAATAACCTTTTGATAATAAACGAGATCCCTGACTTGTTTTCCAAAATCCATTTCAGGGTTGAAACATCGTAATTTGCTGGATTTTTAAATGCAAGTCCTTTGGGCAGGCCCTGTACTATCACAGCAGACTGGTCCCTCTGAATCTTCTCATATGGCACAGGTACCATCGTTGACTTTCCTAAAGCTTCACCTAGAAAAAAAAATAGAGATTGTTTTGAGGTCAAGATTGCTCAAGTTAGCAAAAGAATGAGTCTCTCTCATAACTTTGGAGAGGACTGGAGCAAAAGCAAAGTGCAAATCTCCTCAGAAACCAAGTGCTGCTGGTATTAACATGGCACTGGGTAATAATCTGAAATCACATCCCACAAAACACATCAAGAAGCAAATTAACCACTATATGTGCAGTTTTTAGAAACATCTACTAAAAGTTTCTAAAAATAGCAGTGTAGCTGGAAGGCTAAGATTGTGCAGTTTCTTCCTCCCAGCTGGAATAAAAACTTAGAAACCTAGAACAGCTCTTCAGAAAATTTTAAAGCACTCACCATAGCAAAAGGAGAAAAAGTCCTCCACAGACTTTCTAAGAGTCTCCAGGTCTACAACATCCCCTGTGAGATTGTTTACCCCTGTTTCAGCTGGTGTAGTCTTCGTTTTCTGCAGTTCTGCAGCCCTGTCCTCTTCTGTAACACCTGGCAGTTATTTATAAAAAATAGACAAAAATAAAATAATAAAATAGGAAATTATTCAAACTGCCAGTACCTAGTCCCTCCAGTTTATACTAGAGATGCTCAGGAAGGATTCCTGCCAGAAAATCCTAAGATCTTATTTGCCTTAGAAGCCAATGCACATATCTATGTACATAAGCAATGAGCAAACTTGAATTTACACCAGAATAACTATATTCTCCTTACAACCTTTGTAAATATCACCCTCTGAGGATTAAGAATGATGAATTAAGAGACACGTCCAAGGAGACCTTTTTTTGGCATGAAGAAGTAGAAAACACTATTAGGCTCAGAAGAAGATAAAAATAAAATGCAAAACTGCCAAGAAAAGAAGGACCAACAGAGTCACCAGGGAAAAGGTAAAATGCCAGTGTGGAGGGTCCCATAGCTCTCTACTGCTGTGCATGACATCTTATGCAGCAATTCTGTTACATTCTGGTTTGTTTATGCTGTATGTGCTTTGCTGAAGTTTTTATAGAAGGGATCTGAGTTCTGCCACAACAGCTCTTGTCTCCTTCAAAGGACATTTTAAGTACACGCCTCTTACTGCCAAATAGGAGGAGTTGGAAACAAGCCATCATCATGCAGAATAGAGAGGATTTCAGCCCTACATCTGCTTCTAGTCTCTGAGCAAAAGTCATTGCAAAAGGAGTGAGGGAATAATAACACTTTCAATATTAAAAAGCAAATAAAAGGGATGGTTTCAGGTGGCAGCCTTTCTTTCTTGTTGTTCAGTTCTTGCAAAGATTTACTGAGAATCATCCAGCAAACAACAGAGATATGCTTGCCTACCTGGAAGGAAAGGCAAGGAAGATCTGTGTTCCTGTGTGCAAGAGCATGATCAATGCTGATGCTGTGTCATGACTTCCCCACGAGCCAGCACAGCAGTAAGCCTGACACACCGCGATGTGCATCACCAGGACTCCTGACATCAGAATTCTACACTGACACAAGAAAACAAACATCAGTTTGAACAACTGACTACAAATGGGCTGTGCAATGAGCTGAAGCAGCAATGCTTTTAGTAAAACCACATTCATCATTTAAAAGCTCATATCTTCATTTAAAAGAGAATCTTGTCCTTCCTCTTCAGATCACACATCTGGCTTCATGCTCTGGAAACCCACCTCCATGCGACATTGAGCTTTCCAGCTCTTGAGGCCTGAAACTTTTGCTTTCTCTGCAGTATCACAGGGCCTATCAGAACACGAAAAATAACACAGAAGTGGGATATAATTGTATACCTGTAACACAGGTGCTTAATTAATGACAGTTTTTAAGACTTGCCTGTGGACTCGGGGATAAGAGACACCAGTTTCCATTTACAGCTCCATGTAATGTTGCTTTTCGAGTGGGGTTTTTTTCCATGTAAGAAACTGATTCACTGAAAATGCCTTTACTGCCATCAGCTTCTCAAAAGTGTACCCACACTTTTTAAAAATAATACATAAACCAAAATTAAAATGACAACACTACCCACTTCACACTAAAATGAAAAGCAGACAGAGAGATAGAGAAATTTTCTTTCTTAACTAGAAGAGAAATCCTTATCAGATTTTTTATTACATGATTTTTATCCATTTTCTTAAGCTTACATTATGCATCTGCCTCCCTAATCTCTCCCACATTCTTTGGTCAATATTAATCAAGTCTGACAAACAAGATCAATTTTCAAGCACAGCACAGCAAGATTTGTGAGAGCCTTGCACAATTGATCGAAGGTAGCAGCCATTCACTCCTCCTGGCAGCACTGAAGGACACGTGATCACTTAGAGGGTACACAATTTCACAGGTTCTGCTGAACCCTCGCTACAATTACTGGAGCCCGCAGCAGGATTCAGGCTACCTTTGGAAGAGGGAGAGGGTGCCTGGGACATATGCAACAAGATCTAGTAGTAAAGAGGGATGAGGGGGCTGTATTTACAGGGTAAATAGCTCATGAAGGGGGAGGAATGGTTATATGTAAAAGAATAGCATTCTACACAGCTGTGAGCGTACTGCAGGAGAAATCCAGTTACTCTGCAAAAACTCTTCTACATTCAGGATTACAATTCCCCAATTCCCAACAATGCTCATTTTGCACTGAGAGTCCATATATACCTAAGTGTCTCTTATCTTCTTGTACTATCCAGGTGTGTTGGATATTCAGAATATCCTTCTCTCCTAGTCTGACAGTCCAGCATACCACTTGGCTGGAAAAGGAATCTCCCAGCTATCTCCATTCTTATAAAACAGATATAGTATAAAATGAATAGGCTGCTTTACAGAAAAAAAAAGTCCTCTTACAAGAAAGTTTATGATGGAACAAAAATATTTGAAATGATGAAATTTTAATTTGGTAATTTTTTCTTGTTGCTTGTCAGCAATCGGACAGCTAAACCTTGACCTCTGTATGGGCAGATGCTATAGCTTCCTGCCTGAAGCAGCTGCTTATAATTTGATACAGCTCTCTTCATCACAGAGAACACAGCTCAGCACTTACTCTAAGGTCCACACAGTCTGAGGGCAGCAGACTGAAAGAGGCCATAAGTGTCTGTCTGCCAAGCACCTGACCCAGAGGTAAGGGGAGAGCTGTGTTGGGAGAAGGCAGGCTGCATTTCTCCTGTGGAGCAGAGCATGCCTTGCTGGGTCACATTGTGGACAAGTGTCAAAACCCAGCACTGTCCACATCTCACTGTTGCAGAATAATTCGAATTTAGTAGTAGAATGGCTAAGGCTTAGTAGGAGAGTAGGCCTAGAAAGCAGCACTCCAAAGTAGTAAGTTAGCAACTTTGTTTGTGAGCATGGAATGTGCTGAAGAGATGGCAACAACAATCAAAGGATTTAGTCAAGCATGTATATAATGATTTGTTACCTTGGATGTGGTAAGGGTCTGTTAATCAGTTTCTAGGGGTAAGACAGCTTAGAAGATTTATGATTAGAGTAGATGATTATTAATTGTTATCAGTATGAAGTATGAGCTTGCTTGTAACTGTTTTGTTGTAGAAACTGCTATGAGCTTGTTTGTAACTGAATGTAACTGTTTTGCTGTGGAAACTGCACGTAAACTTGTTTGTGTATAAAAGCTGAACTGAGAATGGAGGTCTTTGGAATCCTGACTTGGGCCGCTAGTCCTCAGGTTCCCGGGGCCCCGAATAAAGCACCGCATAAACCGGCACTCTGTTGGTTTGTGTTTTTGTTACGGGCAACATCACCATAGAGTAAGAAACCAAAAAATCAAGCTTCAGCAGAAAAATGAGCTGTCAGTCCCATGGTACATAAGGCATCTTGAAACATCAGATGATTTTTAATCAGGTGGCTTTTAATCCCCCAGGTAGAGAAAGCTAAGAAGTAATCATGAGAGTATGAATGTGACTCCTGCATAGGCACTCTGAGAGGCAACTTAAGGGCAACAATGATTTTGTGACAACGCTCACATAGATATATTTTACTATGTGCTTAAGGAAAATTACTGCATGAACATAACTATGAGCAATGAAAGAGAGAAAGTAAATGTGTGTGTGGCTAAAAGCATTTAGGTTTGGTTTAGAATGCATCCACCCAGCTCATCTGTGAGCTTTTTAAGACCACCACTGTAAAGTTCGTGAAATTGGAAAATACCCTCAAAGTAAAGAAAATTAATTTCATAATTATCAAACAATCACCTAATCCACAAGAAAAGTAAATCACCTGAGGCAGAATTTAGGAGCCATAGAATTTCAAAAAGATTGTCTGTCTCCAGTAATTTTCTGTTTGTTTACGACTCCAAGGGATCAAGATGGGTGGCTTCTGGGAAAATGGGACTGAACTTTCCCTGTAAGTTTTTAAACCGGCTGTTAACTTCATACCCCTTAGCTGGCTAGGCAGTGACAGAACATGAAAGCTTTGGAGCAATCAAGCCAAGCAACCCAGCTGTACAAGTTACCCAGCTCTGAAATGACCCCAGAAAAACACCAGGGAGCTCTGAGCTAGGCAGGGCATGGCTAAAGCTAAGGATGCTGGAAAGAAAAGGCATCCGGACTAGCACATGACCCGCAAGAGTCTTTGTTCCTGACATTTCTACAGGGAAGAGAGGTAGATGACGGAAGCAGAGAAAGCACTGTCACGGAAGAGAGGCAAAATAACTTGCATCTAACTATGTAGCAGAATTTTTGAAAATGCATGCTGCTTTTCGAGAACTCGCTAAAAGGGGTGAACTGACTTGTAAAACAAGAGAAACTGCCAGTAGTGTAAAACTCAGGAAAAGCAGATTAATTCACCCCTAATACCATGAGAAAGAGCTTGCAAAGGAAACTATAAGAAATGCCTGACTAGCTGGGCTGGCCATCATCCACTTAAGGTAAAGCCCTTTAACCAGTCCAGGAAGCTGGGGGAAAAAGAAAGGGCAAGTAGTAGAAAGCGGGCAGTAGTAGAAAGTAGAAAATAGCAGGCCACAAGGTCCAGCTAAATGATAGGAAAATTATTTTCACCTAGAATGCAGAATTCAGATTATGAACACATATTAATATATGAAAAATATGCAGTACAGAAACTACATTATTTGCATTGCAAACGGTTAGGTAGAAGAGGATTGCAAGCTGAACCATTTAAGTGAGGTCGAATGGAGACAGTGATGGCAAAAAACCCACCGTAAGACAGATGGAGATGATTGCTTTGGATTTTATTATTTGCAACTGCAGCTGCTGGGTAAGTGCTACGAATATTATTTTTAAACTAACTGCTAAGCACATGATTTATTAGGAATAACCTGGTCAAATCTTTCATAGCAACATTCTGCAAATGTAAAATAGAAAGTAACTGAAACTTAAATCCAAAAAAATTAACACAGTATAGTTAATTTAACAAGTGGTTACAACCACAACAGAAAAACTCCCCCAAAAACTAGGGGTCAGGCAAAAACAGATGCAAAATATGAACTAGGCTTCAGCGCACAATGTAAATACTTTAGGGGACTGGAAAAGCAGAATTCCGAAGTGCTGGTGGCA